CGGCTATGTGAAGAAGGAACCGAAGAGTAGTCATCTTCGGGGTCAGGGAGATGGTCTGGAAGAAGTCCACACCCTCACGCTGTCTGAAGCCTCTAGCCACGTAACGCGCCTTGAACTTTGGCGGCTCTCCAAGTGTGTGCATCACCCTGTAGATCCACATGCCATCGACTACGTTTGCCCCAGGCAGGGGAACTGCATTGACGTAAGTGTCTGTGGATCTGTAGGATGCCATGTTAGCCTCCATGGTCTGTATCCACTGGGCTGTCCAGGGCCCCAACACCGCCTCAGCCTAAAGCACGGAACAAGGATGTCAAGAGCGGCTGGGTTGCCCTCTGGGGATACAAGCATGGAGCAGAGATGGGGAACAGCGGCATAAGGGTATGCCAACTCGTACTGCCTGTCCTCTAGCACGTCACTGCCAAGGGCAGATGTACTCCCGACGGACAGAGGACGGGCAGTGCCAGAGACAAGAGCAGCAGCGTAGTCGAGGCGGTGGCTAGCAGCAAAGTCAGCGACTGCAACGACAAGCGCAGAGACTAACTCAAGAGGAACAGTAGGGTTAGTGACAAGCGGCGCAAGCAAGAGCGAGAGGGTAGGACGAGTAGCAAAAGCAGCGTCAGAGCAAGGAGGGGGGAACGACGGAAGCGATGACGGGGGAGGCAACGGGAGGATTGTGACTGGAGGAGCACGCGAACGAAGAACCATAGGGTGGAGACTAGGATGAGGAGAGACAGGACGAGCACCAGAGGGGTGATGGACACAGTGGGGAAAATTAGGGGACTAGGGACGAGGGGGAACGTGGGACAAGTCAGGGGATAGAGGGGAGCGCGGGGAAAAACGAGCCGGAGAGGAGTCCGAAGGAGGGAACAACGGGTCGTAAACAGGGTCACGCACAGGAGGAGGAATGGGCGGGCGGACAGAGGAACCTAGAGCAAGACCAAGGAGACGCAGGGCAAACAACGGCTGCTCCTGCTTCGGCGGCTGCTTCTGGTGCTGCGGCTGCGCTTGCTGCTGCGGCTGCTGCGGCTGCCGCTACGGCTGCAACTACTCCCTGTCCTCTCCAGGACCTCCAGCGGCACCGCGGCTGCCACCGGCACTCCCTAAACCAGCACCCCTAAGACTAGCACCCTCAGACACACCACCGACAGAACCAGCACCACCAGAACTCGCACCCCCAGAACCAACACCCCCAACACCACCACCTCCAACACCAGCACCCCTAGAACCCACTTCTCCCTGCTGCGGCCGCTGAGGCTAATGCAGCGACTGCTGCTGTTGTTGAGGTAAGGGGGGAGGCGGCTGAGATGAAAGGGGTACCGAGGCTGGGGGAGGTGCCACAAGGAGAGAAACGTGCCCCCAGCAGCTGGGCCCCCAGAGTTAGCCAACTCCCCCATTGGCTCAACCGAGGGGAACTGAGTGGCGTGGGAGACACCAGACTGGGCTAAGCGGGGCGGGAGGGGAGCGGCAGGCGGGGAAGTGACAAGGAACAGAGGAGGAGGAGGCACAGGAGTGCTGCGGTGCAGGAAGCAATGGCAGTAGGAGAGCGACTCGTCGAAGGTAACGTCACGAGAGTGGTAAAAGCGGTGGTGTGACGGGAGGTAGAACAGCCAGTCAGAGGCATCAAGCGGAAATCCCAGGAAGACACAAGGAAGGGTGCGGGCTGAGAGCTTGTCTGCGGCAGTGTCGCGAACATGAGCAAGGCTGCCGCAGACGTGGAACGCAGACGTGTCACCAGGACACCCGGTCCAGAGGAGGGTCGGCAAAACCTGTGGCCTCTGGGAGCGCGGCTATAGGTTAAGCTGGTGAGCAGCGTAGCGCACAACGAACGTCCACAGAAAATGGGGTGCACCGACGTGGACCATAGAGGTGCAAGCCACCTCCATGATCAGGCCCATGCATTGCTCAGCGACCCCATTCTGCTGTGGGGAGTCTGGTAGTGTGTACGTCTGGCGGATGCCCTGCTTACGGTAGAAACGTCCTAGAGTGCCAGAGGCGAACTCGCCTCCTCGGTCAGAGTGTAAGCGACCTACAGGCAAGCGGTGGTGGGTGACATGGAAAGATAGTCACATGCGCGAAAAAAGAAGCTACAGTAACGGCGGAAGCGTGAGTAACGGCGGAGAAAAAATAAATCTAACTCTATACCATGTTAGAGTAGTGGGAAATTTGCGTCTAGAGGAAAGTGTCGAGGGATACAAAACTAGGGCTGTACTCACCAAGAATTAAACTAGCTAAGCTATAAACAAATATGACCTAGCTAAGGTATATAGATATATTTGTTGACACTAAATTGTGTAATAATTTTTATACTATCGTATTTGCCCGGATATTGCACCATGTGGTCTTGTATCGTTTAGGAGCAATTTAGGGGTGTTGCTTATAACTGAGTAAATTAATAAAAGATACGGGGCTTCTGAAATGTATAAGGTAAAATGGGAAATTTTGTAGTGTTTTTCCGTTACCCTTCCTATTTTACGTTTCCCTGTCGAGGTTTTCGCGTCGAAACTGGAAGACGAACTGCTGGAGGGAAATTGGACTCGATTCCCTGCCAGATGGCACAACCGGATAGGCGTGACCCTCGTTCCTACCTCGCACCACCTGGCACACTCAGCTCCCCCCACTACACATTCCTAGTCGCGCAACTCCCTTGTTTCTTGCCTTTTGCTTCGACCTGAAAACTTGTATGGAATTTAGACATATTCAGCATAAAGGGTTAAAAGGGGCTTATCCCATATACAACGGAAAGAACAGGTCTATAACAGTGAGAAACCGTCATCAAAGAACTGCCAGAAATAAGCCCTACTGGGGCCTTAATTTTTAGGGTCTTAAATACGGGCAAATACCTCAGGACTACTTGTGCCGCCCTGGATTGCTCTTGTTTAATTTGTACTCTTGCTGACAGGTCTTCGGACCTTTGCCTCAGAGGTTGGACTAGTAGTGCCACCCTAACCTTCGTGTCTCTTGCCCGGCACTGCCCCTTATCTAGCCTAGGGGGTGTGTCAAACATATATGTATATAAGTTTCTATATGCTAGCTAGATAGGTGCGTACTCTTAGATAGTACAACCACAAAATCACACTGTATTGACTTTCTAGTTAATTTTTCTATGTTAAGACTGTGCTGTAATACCGGGACGTGTCCTTGCTGTCGCGCTGACTTCGAGTCTTGTACTTCTGACTATTGAGTTGCACGGTCAACGGTCTGCGAACGTTGTTATGAATTAATCAGAAAAAAAAAAAAAAAAAAAAAAAAAAAAAACATGTAGAGTAATGAAGGAGTCGTGATTCAAGAGTGTCGATACAAATGAGGGCCTAGGTATTTAGAGGCATGAACAGAGCTAGCCGAGAACCACGCGAACAGGTTGGGGCGGTCCTGTTGGCGAAAGCTATGTAAGCGCCGCGCGTCTAGGTTTGGGTTCGCGAAGTGGTTCGAGACCGAAGAAGTTGGCCGGGCCTGGACTTCTGAGAGTCGAGGGCGTACGCGCTGTAGTTGAGCCCTGTAAGGAAAAGGGAATTTCCTTACACCACCCCCCCTTCCGGGATGAGACTACCCACATCCGGGACACATCGTCGGTGTAAATAGTCTTGGACAACTCTGTTTTCACCGAGCGTGGCTGCGAAAACCCAGAGGTCGTCGTCACTTGTGCAATCGACCCAGCGTACAAGGAAATCGACGACTAGTGTATCTTGATGTCCCCGTATACGATGAGCGAGGATCTTGGACGGCGCTGTCGTCGGCTCGGGTACTGGGTTGACCGTATGATTAATATGTTGACGGTCGAGATTGGTCGCACTCAAGACGAATGGTCGCAGGAGACTGACGTGGAACGAATCATGAATTCGCCTGTCAGTCGGTGCACGTGGGTGGTGACTGGTGTCACCATGCGGATGATGTGGAATGGGCCGCAAAATATTGGTCGTAATTTATTTGGGAGGGGGATTCCCAAAATCCTGGTGTCGAGCAGGACCAATTGCCCAGGGACAAGTGTTAAGTCTTGGCGTCGCCGGCCAGCTTGCTGCTTAGCCCTCTGGTTGGCTTTTAGGATGGCATCGGCAGCTTTTTGCTGAGATTGTCAGAGATTTTCGATGAACTGCTGAGACCTTGGTGCCGGATTTTCTATCAGTGGTGATAGAGGGGTTGTCGCATCTATCCCGTAATTAAGGAAGAATGGGGACTGAGTAGTTGTGGCCAATGGGGCACTTGTTATAATCACAATAGGCTCAGATGTGCATATAATGAGAGATAGAGAGCATAGTCGGATTTCCGTCAGACGGCTTCAAATACTAATAACGATCTGCTCGCTAACTGAAACGGTCATTTGTAAGTTGGATCAGGAGCGCGTTGTTGTCATCTATCAGCAGCAAGTTGAATCATAAAATTCCATGAAGATTTGACGACGCTATGGTGGTTTGACTGGCAACAGGTATAGCAGCCACTATAGTCTTGGAAGTACACTCTTAGCAAGAAGAATGGGAGATGGTTCCCAGCCTCTACATACCCCAAGAGCCGAGGTCCAGGTTGGTGGTACACCACCACAAAGTCCCCAACCACGAAGAGTCTCGAAACAAACCCTCCAAGGGGCTACACCAAGTGAAATGTAACACTACACGAAGTAGCGTTACTATTTTCACTATTTAATATTTATCCGCGTCCCGTGGGCTTAAAATCTTGAGCTCTTGGTCTTGGTTCTGCAACATAAATTCTTCTTGAGTTGATGGGGGCTTGCTGCACACACCTGCGACGCGATGGACACTTCACACTCGACAAAATAGAAAAAACACATGCGACACGCAAACGACGACTTGACATGCGAGTTGTAAAAACTCGCTAATGTCTTGACCGACACAAACCACATTGTGATACACCATTCAAACACACACACTAGCACTGGATAGCAATGACATAGACTCACAATTCATTCCATGCCATGCATGCACACACACAAACAAGGACGACAAGCCGAGTGCAAGCCATAGGGTTGCACCAACAAACTCCCCCTCGGATTGTTGGCCTTATAATCTGCTCCTCTTAGTTCAGAGCCATCCCAGCAAGCTTGCAACACTTCCAATGCTGCTGCTCAACGAGCCTCTTGGTCATCATATCAGCTGGCTGCGCCGTCGTCTTCATGTAGTGCAACTCCATTTCACCCGCTGTTACCATGCTCCTCACCCAATGCCACTTCACCTTCATGTGCTTGGTAAGGCCATGAAGAACGGGGTTCTTTGCCAATGCAATAGCACCCTGGCTATCACAGTAGAGTGGGGTAGGTCCTTGCTGCTCCTCCCCCAATTCAGCTAGCAAACGCCGCTGCCACACAACCTCTCTTATGGCACGGAAGAGTGCCATATACTCGGACTCCACCGAGCTCAATGCTTGGTCCACTTGTTTCTTGCTCTCCCAAGCTGTTGGTCCTCCACCAACACAGCAGATGAAGCCTCCCATACTTGTCATGTCCTCTGATTCTGATGCCCAAGATGCATCAGAGAAGGCGGTGAGAAAGAGCCTCCCGGGTTCGACTCCATCCGCACCCTTTTGACGCCTTTGTGCCGCCGCGGAGTATTGCAGTCCAACAGTTGCTGTTTGGCCAAGGTACTTGGCCACCCTCTCTCCAGCTACTACCTGCTCTTCATTAGGGCATTGGACAACCCTAGCCAGCTGCCCGGTAGCAAAGGCTGCGTCCGGCCTTGTATGAACGGCCGCATACATGAGGCTGCCCACCAAGGAGTGAAAACGCCGCCTCTCCTCTTCACCAACACTTTCCTCCGCTGATCCTTTCACACACTTGAACCCTGAGGGAAGAGGAGTAGCCACATGACCTTCACTCTTCCCAAAGTTTGCAGCCAAGGCCTCCAAGTACTTGCATCCACCGCTTCTCCACATCTCGCTCAATGTGAAGCCCAAGGTAATAGTTGACGTCACCAAGGGCCTTGCACTTGAACTTGTCTTGAAGCTTCAGCATCACCTCCTTCACAAGGTCAGAGCAGGGTGAGAATATGAGGATGTCATCCACATAAACCACCATGAAGTTCCTTTGCTCCCCCTCACCAAGCATGAACAAGGCCGTTACTATATCCATTTGCTTCACCACCCATCCTTTGATGGCCGCCGCGGCGAAGAGGGTTCGAAGGGTTGTACCCTTCACCACAGGGGCATACACTTCATTGTAATCCTTCTTCTCTTGCTGTTGATACCCCTTGGCTACAAGTCTGCTCTTGTAGCGCTCAATGTTGCCGTCGGCGTCGGTCTTGCGCTTGAAGAGCCACTTGGAAGAGATCGCCTTCCGCCCCGGAGGTAGGTTCACCAAGTCAAATGTATCGTTCTCTATGATGCTCCCCATTTCTTCATCTGAGGCCTTCTTCCACTCCTTCCCATTGGGGCCGTCCCAAGCCTCCTTGGGATTTGTAGGCTCCCCTGGCATCTCCACTGGAGAGAAGAAGGCAAAAGCGCACTCCTCGCTTTCATCTTCCGCATCATCGCTTAGCATGAGAGCCGAACCGGTCAAGGTTGAGTTGGCTGGTCCTCCAAGCCGGTCATAGCTCAACCTATTAGGGGGCTGAGTCCTCCTTCTCCCCCTTCCTTCCTCCTCTGCTGCAGGGACTTGAATGCTCTCATGGCGTTGCGGTAAATTTGGTCGGTTCCCACGAGCACTTGTAGCACGAGGCGGAAGTGACGATGCACGCTCATCATCTTGCTACACCTCCTCCTCCTCCTCATCCCCATTCATTTGAAGAGATTGCCTCGTGATTGTGCTGCTGCTACTCAGCTCCAAGGGCAGCTCCACATGCTCCAAGCCGGTACTCTTCACCTCTCCAAGCCGCACACCAATCTTCGCTTGATTCTCCGCCTTCCACTCCTTGTACGGTAAGTTCTCCATGAACTTGCAATCTCTGCTCACCAAGAACTTCTTGGTAAATGGGTCCCATAGAAGCCATCCCTTGCTGTTTTGAGCCATGCCCAGGTGCACGGCCCATGTTGCCTTGGCATCAAGCTTGTTGTGCCGAAGTTTCTTAGGCACAAGTGCCATGCACATGCACCCGAACACCTGAAGCATATCCACCTTCGGCTTCCTTCCAATCCACTCCACATTGGGCACTCATTTGTCTTCTCCCACGTGATTCAAGGCTCTGTTCTTGGCCACACAAGCATGCCGCACCGCATCCGGCCAAAAGTAATTGGGTAGACCGGCTTCAATGAGAAGTCCCCGAGCCGTCTCCGTGAGTGTCCGATTCGCACGCTCGGCGATGCCGTTCATTGCAGGAGAGTAGGGCATGGTAAGAGAGTGCCTTATGCCCTGCTTCTTTAGCCAAGTTGAGAAATCCTTGCTGAGGAACTCTCCCCCACGGTCAGTGCGAATCACCTTCACAAGCCGGTCTTGTTGCCGCTCCACCATCGGCAACCAATCGGTCTTCACCGTTTCAGCTATATCACTCTTCTTGGGCAGCACATACACCCAGGTCACGCGAGTGTAGACGTCGACAATGGTGAGGAATTACTCTACTCCAGCAGCTCCAAGCTTCAAGGGGCCCACCACATCCATCACCACCTCATCAAGTGGTGCCTTTGCCGTTGTCTCCGAGCTATGGAACGGGTAGCGGGTGAACTTGGCTTGCATGCATGTTGGACAGCCAAGCACCTCATTGGGCTCCCCCTTGACACGTATCCCACTAACCATCTCTTGCTTAAAAATCTGCTGCAAAATGGGCAATGCCACATGCCCCATTCGCCGATGCAAGGTCAGCCAATCACACTCTCCCGTAGCGGAAGTCGGGTTGGAGAAAGCGGCACTCGCAATCGTGCCCCACAAGCTCTCTCCTTTCTCCTTCGCCGCTGCTGCTTTGCTGATCTTAGGCTTCTCCTCCTCATTTCCACCACCTTTGGCTGCTGCACCACTCTCCTTGGGTTCACACGCCTTGCTGGTCTCTCCAAGGTTGCATTCCTTCGAGTCACTCTTGGTGTTACTTTGCTTTCCGTGATCACCGCCACCAACCGCTTCACTCTTGGTGCTGACGCTTGCTGCCACTTGCCTCCCCTTAGGCATGGGGACTACTGGGATTTGCCATATCTCATTGTAGATGTCCCTGTCCTCATGAAGGTCCCAAAGCTTCCGCTCACCAAGCCTCGCGGTATATATTTTGGAACCCTTGGAAGATGTGTCCATGCTGGCCTGTTGCAAACGCCGAACGGAAATCGGGTTGGCTGCTAGGTTGGGCACCAAAAGCACGTTCTTGAGGCCCACCATCTTCCCATCAGCACCCTTGAACATGGCCTTGCCCATGCCTTTCATCTCTGCTCGCTGCCCTAAAGCCGATGTAACATGCTTGACCGGCGACGGTTCGAGTTCGGTGAGCAAGTCCGCACGAGGTGTCATGCTATAGGTGGTGCCGCTATCGATTACCCAAAAGTCCAGAGAGTGAAGGGTGACCTTTTGCACAGTAGCTGGCTCCTCAAAGCCTTCCACACCTCTTGCTGCAGCTGCCGCTTGCGTGGAGACAAAGAAGAATTGGCCCGGGTATCGATCTTCACTCGGGCCCGTCTCGTAGTCTCCACCTTTCATGCTTGCCGCTTCGCTTCCACGACCACCACGGCCTCCACGACCTCTGCCTCTTCCTCCCCTTACCCCTCTGCCCTCTTGGCCTTGAGAAGGGGTTCATCCATCAGGCAATCTGAAGCAATCTCTCCACATGTGGCCGGTCTTGTGACAAAAGTGACATTCGCCATCAAATCGACCGCGCCCACGCCCGTAGCCATTGTTTTTGTTGTTGCTGCCATACCCTCCATTACCACGGCCTCCATTGAAGTTACTGCTGCCAAATCTGCCTCCTCGCCCTCTGCCCCTTCCACGGCCGTGCCCACGGCCCATGCTTGCAACTCCGGCACCATCGGGACCCGCCAATTCGCGACGGCGGAAATCTTCTTGTAAGATTTCCCGCTTCACATCTTCGAGCGAGAGGCAGGGCAGATCTCGATTTAGGTTGATGATGAGCGAGGACCATGAGTCCGGAAGTAAGGCCAGTAGATTGGTCTTCTTTTGAAGGTCACTGTAGTTCAGGTCAGCTCCTTCGAGCCGTGTCAACAAGTCGAAGAATTTCTGCACTCCTTCCTCCACCGGTTCGCCTTCGTCAATTCGAAGTGCCGCCATTTGCCGCTCCAAAACCACAGCCACCGCCGCTCTTGCAGGAGTGTGTACACCCTTGAGAGCAGCCCATGCCTTTGGTCCCTTTGCTGGTTCACGCTGAAAAGGCTTGATGTGACACATTTGGCTGCTCCCCAACGCTTGCCCAAGTAGAAGGTAGCCTTGTGCGCTCTTCCGCACCCACGGGCTCTTCTCCGGGTCGTTCTCGGGGCGCTTCTCCGTTCCTTCCATCACCTCCAGCAGATCATAGTGGTCAAAGATGTTCTCCATCTTGAAGGACCACTCAGCAAAGTTGTCACCATTGAACTTGTCAAGGCCAAACACTCTAGGCTCATCCCTAGAGGGTCCAAGGCTAAGTTGCACCGGAGCAACGGGTGGATCTTGGTGTTGACCTTGTGCTTGGGCGGCTTCTCTGCCTCCAGCACCTTTGCCACCCCCTTCCTCAGCTCTAGGCATGGTCCAAAAGGCTCCAAGGGGCGCTGATACCACTTGTTATCATCACAATAGGCTCAGATGTGCATATAATAAGAGATAGAGAGCATAGTCGGATTTCCATCAGACGGCTTCAAATATTGATAACGATCTGCTCGCTAACTCAAACGGTAATCTATAAGTTGGATCTGGAGCACGTTGCTGTTGTATATCCGCAGCAAGTTGAATCATAAAATTCCATGAAGATTTGACGACGCTATGGTCGTTTGACTGGCAACAGGTATAGCAGCCACTACAGTCTTAGAAGTACAAACTTAGCAAGAAGAATTTGAGAGGGAGATGGTTCCCAGCCTCTACATACCCCAAGAGCCGAGGTCCAGGTTGGTGGTACACCACCACAGAGTCCCCAAACACGAAGAGTCTCGAAACAAACCCTCCAAGGGGCTACACCAAGTGAAATGTAACACTTCACGAAGTAGCGTTACTATTTTCACTATTTAATATTTATCCGCGTCCCTTGGGCTTGAAATCTTGAGCTCTTGGTCTTGGTTCTGCAACATAAATTCTTCTTGATTTGATGGGGTCTTGCTGCACACACCTGCGATGCGATGGACACTTCACACTCGACAAAATAGAAAAAACACATGCGACACGCAAACGACGACTTGACATGCGAGTTGTAAAAACTCGCTAATGTCTTGACCGACACAAACCACATTGTGATATACCATTCAAACACACACAGAAGCACTAGATAGCAATGACATAGACTCACAATTCATTCCATGCCATGCATGCACACACACAAACAAGGACGACAAGCCGAGTGCAAGCCATAGGGTTGCACCAACAGCATTGTTGTACGCAAACTCGATCAAGGGAAGGGTGTCTTCCCATTGGGTTGGGTCTGTCCATGTCATGCGAATCAGTTGTTCCGTCGTCTGGTTGGTGCACTCAGTCTGGCCGTCCGATTGCGGGTGGTATGCCGTGGACAGATGCAGACGTGTGTCGTACTGCTGCCAGGTTTTTAACTAGAAGTTGGACGTGAACAGTGGGTCACGATCGCTGATGATTGCCGAGGGAATTTTGTGTAACCACACGATGTTCGTGAAGAACAGTTTCGCTATCTTCTCGGCAATTATTGTCGTTTTTCAGGCATCGAAATGGGCCATCTTAGTCAACCGGTCAATGATGACGAGAATCGCGTCGTTACCGCTTGGACCGGCTGGCAGGCCAGTAACGAAATCCATCGTCACTTGTTGCCAGGGTCGGCTGGGTGGCTCGAGTGGCTGCAACAATCCAGCAGGTCGAAGCCGAGAAGACTTCATGCGTTGACACGTGGCGCAGGATTTGATGTATAGCTGCACGTCTGTCGGCAAATCAGGCCAGTAATAATAACGGCTCAGTAATTTGGCGGTTTTGTCGATGCCGTAGTGACCTGAGAAATTCGAGTCATGTGCCTCCTAGATCAGTAATTCCCGTACGGTACGGAAGGCGGGGACCCAAATCCGATTGGTACCGGATTTTAGGTAATAGGCCCCTTGCTTGTCCGTCAGTTGGGGATGACTGTTAGTGGTGAAGAATGGGTCAGATCTGTATCCGTGGGTGAATAGGCCAGTTAGCAGCGAATTAACTTGGGTAATTAGAATTACGGCGGTGTGGACCGAGGGGCGGGTCAGTGCGTCGGCGATGTTGCTGACCCCTCATTTGTAGGTGACTCTGTAGTGGAAATTGGACTCGAGGTAGTCGAGCCAGTGAATCTGTCAGGGGTTCAGTGTCGGTTGGGCGCGGATGAACTGTAGCGACTTGTGGTCTATTTGGACTGTGACGTCAGCGCCCGTCAGGTAGCAGTGCCAGACTTTGAAAGCATGAACGATGGCAAGTAACTCCTTGTCATGGACAGGATAATTTTGCTTGGCAGGGTTCAGCTTTCGTGACTCGTAGGCGATCGGTTGTAGGCCTTCACCGAAGTCTTGTAACAAGAATGCGCCAACGGCCAGATCACTAGCGTCGGTGATGAGCTCGAATGGACGGTAAGGATCTACAATCCGAAGAACTGGCGGTGTAGTCAGGAAAAGTTTGAGCTTTTCGAACGCACCCTGCTGCTCTCCCCCCCCACTAAAAAATGGTGCCCTTCTTCAGGAGATACGTGAGAGGGGAAGTTATCCCCGCCATATTCGGAATGAAACGGCGGACGCAATTAACAAACCCCATACAACTTTGAAGTTCGCGTAGATTAGTCGGCGGCTTCCAGTCTTGGATTGTCGTGATTTTCTTGGGGTCGATTTTAACACCGTCGATGGAAATCACGTAACCCAAGAACTCTAGTTCGTGTTTTGAAAACTCTCACTTAGAGCCCTTGGTGATGAGTCGGTTCTACTGCAGGCGAGAGAAAACTGCTTCCAAATCCTTGAAATGCTGCTCCTGGGTTGTGCTGTAGACGAGGATGTCGTCGAGGTACACGATGACGCACTTGTCCAGTAGTGGCCGAAAAATCTCGTTCATGGTCAGCTGGAAGGTTGAAGGCGCGTTTGTTAAGCCAAAGGGCATGACAGTATAATTGTAACTCCAGTACCGTGTTCGAAACGCCACCTTGTAGCAGTCAGCTTCGTGCACGCAAAGTTGGTGGTAACCGCCTTGCAGGTTAGTCTTCGAGAAAAATCTGGCCCCGCGAAGTTGGTCGATGAGGTCGTCTGCACGTAGAATGGGGTAGCGAGACTTGATGGTAACCCGATTCAAGGTGCGGTAGTCAATACACATACGCAGACCGCCATCTTTCTTCGGTGTGAACAGGATCCAAGCTGCAAATGGTAATGTGCTGGGGCGGACGAAACATTTCTCGAGCAAGTAGTCCAGCTGGCATCGAAGTTCATCTAACTCGGGCTGAGTCAGCTGCCATTGGGTCCGAACAATAGGCTCCGCACCGAGCTTGAGCTCAATTTTGTGGTCATGTGGCCACTGAGGTGGCAAGCCTGCCGATAGGTCGTCAGGAAAATTTTCAGCGTGCTTCCAAATCACTGTTGCCAAATCATCTGGTACAGCTGCGCAGAGTTTGTCGATGACGGTCGGCGTGTCGACAGCTGTTGATGCGATCCATCAGACGGCACACAGCTGCGCTCCTCGAATCATTGTGCGCTTTATAATCGCAGTGCTGACCTTCGATGTTGTCGAGTCTTGACTGCTCCACTTGGGTAGCCGTCGCCACTCGCCACTCCACTTTATGCGACAATCGCCCGTCCGCCAGTCGATGCTTGGGTTGTATTCGCGTAGCCAATCGCGTCCCAGCAGCATGTCGCACCCGTCTAAAGTTGTCGCCAGCATCTTCGACGTGAAACTGAAATTTTCGCCACAAGTGACTCGCATGTTAGGCACGCGCTCCCGAATCGCCAGTAAGGTGCCGTCAACCAACCTCGCGTCGATTTCGGGCATGCAGCATTCCAGCTGCAATCGGAGTTTCTTCGTTTTTGTCACATCCATCAAACTGTGGCTTGCCCCACCATCAACAAATATTTTGATGCGGGTGTCGCCAACTCTTCCTTCAATCAGCACAGGGCGATCAACCGGTTCACCCTCCTTATTCAGCCAGGAATGGTCGATAGCCCAAATCGGCACTATAACCTGGTGGGGGTGTTGGCGTTTGGGCGACGCAGTCAAGTCAGTAGGTTGCCCATCTGCTACTGACGATCTCTGTTTCCCGATTGCTTCCCGTCATTAGCTAAGTTCTTCTTCAGCTGTGGGCAGTCCCTCACCATGTGACCCGGCTGGTTGCAATGGAAACAGCATCCGGAAAATACCCGGGCTGCAAACACGTCCACGTCGTTGATTGATGTATGTTGGGGCTAGCCTCGAAAGTAATTTCCATCCCGAAGCGTTGTGCGAGCGTTTTCGCGCATGGATATGTGCTCGAATCGGCTCTTCAATACTTCGCCCCACGCTTTCCACGTGCAGATCGTGGCCGACCCAAAGATCGGTTCTGCTTGAGCCGTTGATGAACTGTGCTCCCCATCTACCACCTGTTGATTCCCTGCCGGGGCTCCATTAGTCGAGTGCCGGTCCCCTCAGCAGCGACACAGCCAAGATAACACGTGACGCATTGTCATAAATACTTGCGACTGTAGAGAAGATTTCCATGGCAAACAGCCAACCGTTCACTATAGTTGTTCTGTCGGTTGGGTTGAACGGCGGTGGCATTGGAGGTTTGATTGTAATGGCTGCCCGCAGCTCGCTGTGGACTTCTTCAACTGCTTCAAGAGTCGCCGACGCCCTCGCTTCGCTCGCAGCATCTTCGTCTCGGGTAACAGGCCTCCCCTGATGCGTTTCACCCCGCGTCTGGCGAAGCAACGAGTTTTCGTTGCGCAGCGACTGTACTTCACTTCTCAGTGACTCGAACTTATCGGCGAGTTGTTGAAGTCGGGGCTGCAGTGTCTTCACTGTAGCCGCCCTGGCTTGCAACTCGTCAAACTCCTCCTGAGTCACATTCTTAAAACTACAACGGGCAGAGGTTTCCGGCGTGATAGGCATGCTGGAAATTTTACCTGACAGATTTGAGGGTGCACACGCTTCTAGTTGGAGGAGCTTTAACAAGCTCACCTAACAACCGAAGGTCAACCCTCTATTCTGTCGGGTCCTCTCCCGATATAAATGGACTACTCTACGGAAAACTAAGCAGGCAGGAATGGGGCTTTGATACCAGCTGTTATGAATTAATATGAGTAATAACAGGTAGTGAAATAAAGGAGTCGTGATTAAAGAGTGTCAATACAAATGAGGGCTTAGGCATTTATAGGCTCGAACAAAGCTAGCCGAGAACCACGCGAACAGGTTGGGGTGGTCCGGTTAGCGAAAGCTACAGAAGCGCCGCGCGTCTAGGTTTGGGTTTGCGAAGTGGTTCGGGACCGAAGAAGTTGGCCAGGTCTGGACTTCCGAGAGTCGAGGACGGGGCTGTAGTCAAGCCCAGTAAGGAAAAGGGAATTTCCTTACAAACGTTGCCCTTTTGTAACCTCTCCAAGGTGTCGTCAGACTATGTCAACTGTCAGAGATACTGTAGCAGTTTTTGACTTGTTAATTTTTATGTTGTTGATAAATCATACATATACAGTATATATGTTTGTTAGGCTTGGTAGGTGTGCGACATTGCTGAATCCTACTGTAGAGAGGACAACCCCCCCCCCCTCCCTCCTTGTATCTCCTCTTTCTTAGTGCACCCCTTCTCTCGTCAACTTTCTCCTACCCTAGCTAAACTGTTGGAATAGCATAATGAATAGAACAAGTGAGAACAGGGGAGATATAGCGTTAGAGTTGTACCCTATACGAACACAAACATATCTAGCCTATAACTACTACATATATGCATGTGTATAAGTTGACACACCCCCTAGGCTAGATAAGGGGCAGTGCTGAGCAAGGAACACGCAGCTCAGGGTGGCACTACTAGTCCAACCTCTAAAGTAGGGGTCCAAAAACCAGTCAGCAGAGTACAAACAAGACAAGAGCAAACCAGGGCAGCACTACTAGAAGAGAAGCCACAATGCCAGTAAGGAAGGTATATAAAGAGGAGTACACAATCAATGTCCTAGAAAGTGAGGAGCTACTGGAACTAGACCAAGCTGAAAACAGTGCCAGCACAGCTGATATCTTTACTAAGGCGCTTGCGCAAGCGCCTTAGTGAAGATATCAGCTGTGCTGGCACCGGAGGCCAAGTGTACTACGCGGGCCTTGCGGCGCTGCTGTAGCTCGTGCAGGAGGAAGTACCGCAGCTCGATGTGCTTCGCTCTGCCCTCAAGTCGAGGCTCCTGACACAGGAGGATCATGGCCCTGTTCTCATCGTACAGAAACGGGGCAGAGCTAGGCCGCTCACCTAAGTCGGTGAGCAAGAAGGTCAACCAGCAGAGCTCCTATGCCGCCATGGCAGCGGCGTAGATCTCAGCCTCAAAGCTAGACTGGGAAATAGACGAGGAGCGAGTGGACCGCCACGAGGTGGCACATGAACCAAGGCTAAAGCAGTAGCCCTGAGAGGACCTGAGCGTCTCAGCGTCGTCTGCCCACGAAGTGTCTATGTGCCCAATAAGGACCACTGGCCTGCGTCCTCCCTGCACGAGCCCCATGCCTGATGTACTTGCTAGATAATCTGAAACCCTGTTAGAGTCTTACCATTGCTGTGGCCGGTGCCTGCCTAACACCACAAAGCGAGCCAGGATGCTGAGAGGGTATACGAGATCTGGTCGAGTGCAAGTCATCAGGTACAAGAGGCAACCCACCAACTCTGTGTAAGGACCACTGGGTTGTACTAACTCCTCAGGAACTGGAGCAGACAGCCTGTGGTCTACTGGCAGAGGTGTGGGCTGTGCAGAGGAGAACTGAAGACCAAACCTCTGAAGGACCTGGCGCACCAAGTGTGACTGTGTGAGAGTGATGGTGTGCGCTGCTCTGTCCCTGGAGATCTGCACGCCAATGGTAGCGGTGCAGCTCTCCTAGGTCAGTGCAGGTGTGTCTCCTCAGCAGCTCGGCCTTCACGGAGGCCAGTGCGTCTTTGTATGCAGTAGCAAGCACCAGGTTGTCAACGTAGACAAGGATATAGAACAGGGTCTGGCCTGAACGAACGAAGAGCGAAGGGTCTGCAGACCACGGGAAGAACTGCAGGTCAGCTAGCATAGCACGTAGTCTCGTGCAACTCATAAGGCACCTGTCGCAGGCCGTAGATCGGGTGCCGGAGGAGCCACTGGGTCCCAAGAGGGAAGGTACCAGTGAAGCTCTGTGGACGGTGCAGGTAGACCTGCTCGTGTAGGCTGCACTGAAGAAAAGCAGTGGAGAAGTCGAGGGAGTGGAGCTCGTAGTCATGCTAGCCATCTTCGGGCGAATGTCTGAAAGAAGTCCACACCCTCGCGCTGACTGATGCCTCTAGTAACGTAGCGCACCTTGAAAAAAGGCGGCTCTCCAGGGGGGCGCTTCACCTTGAAGAGCCACCGACCATCGACTACGTTATGTTCTAGTCACAATAGGCTCAGATGTGCCAATAATGAGAGATAGAGAGCACTGTCGGATTTCTGTCAGACGGCTTCAAATATTGATAACGATCTGCTCGCTGACTTAAATGGTGATCTGTAAATTGGATCTGGAGCGCGGTGGTGTCATCTATCCGCAGCAAGTTGAATCATGAAATTCCATAAATATTTGACGACGCTATGGCGGTTTGACTGGCAGGAGGTACAGCAGCCACTATAGTCTTAGGAGTACAAAAAAACTTAGGAAGAAGAACTCGAGAGGGAGATGGTTCCCAGCCTCTACATACCCCAAGAGCTGAGGTCCTGATTGGTGGTATACCACCACAGAGTCCCCAACCACGAAGAGTCTCGAAACCAACCCTCCAAGGGGCTACACCAAAGTGAAATGTAACACTACACGAAGTAGCGTTACTATTTTCACTATTTACTATTTATCCGCGTCCCTTGGGCTTGAAATCTTGAGCTCTTGGTCTTGGATCCGCAAGATAAATTCTTCTTGAGTTGATGGGGGCTTTCTGCACACACCTGTGACGCGATGGACACTTCACACTCGACGAAAAAAAAAAAAAAAAAAAAAAAAAAAAAAAAACACACATGCGACACACAAATGACGACTTGACATGCGAGTTGTAAAAACTCGCTAATGTCTTGACCGACACAAACCACATTGTGATACACCATTCAAACACACACACTAGCACTGGATAGCAATGACATAGACTCACAATTCATTCCATGCCATGCATGCACACACACAAACAAGGACGACAAGCCGAGTGCAAGCCATAGGGTTGCACCAACAAACTCCCCCTCGGATTGTTGGCCTTATAATCTGCTCCTCTTAGTTCAGAGCCATCCCAGCAAGCTTGCAACACTTCCAATGCTGCTGCTCAACGAGCCTCTTGGTCATCATATCAGCTGGCTGCGCCGTCGTCTTCATGTAGTGCAACTCCATTTCACCCGCTGTTACCATGCTCCTCACCCAATGCCACTTCACCTTCATGTGCTTGGTAAGGCCATGAAGAACGGGGTTCTTTGCCAATGCAATAGCACCCTGGCTATCACAGTAGAGTGGGGTAGGTCCTTGCTGCTCCTCCCCCAATTCAGCTAGCAAACGCCGCTGCCACACAACCTCTCTTATGGCACGGAAGAGTGCCATATACTCGGACTCCACCGAGCTCAATGCTTGGTCCACTTGTTTCTTGCTCTCCCAAGCTGTTGGTCCTCCACCAACACAGCAGATGAAGCCTCCCATACTTGTCATGTCCTCTGATTCTGATGCCCAAGATGCATCAGAGAAGGCGGTGAGAAAGAGCCTCCCGGGTTCGACTCCATCCGCACCCTTTTGACGCCTTTGTGCCGCCGCGGAGTATTGCAGTCCAACAGTTGCTGTTTGGCCAAGGTACTTGGCCACCCTCTCTCCAGCTACTACCTGCTCTTCATTAGGGCATTGGACAACCCTAGCCAGCTGCCCGGTAGCAAAGGCTGCGTCCGGCCTTGTATGAACGGCCGCATACATGAGGCTGCCCACCAAGGAGTGAAAACGCCGCCTCTCCTCTTCACCAACACTTTCCTCCGCTGATCCTTTCACACACTTGAACCCTGAGGGAAGAGGAGTAGCCACATGACCTTCACTCTTCCCAAAGTTTGCAGCCAAGGCCTCCAAGTACTTGCATCCACCGCTTCTCCACATCTCGCTCAATGTGAAGCCCAAGGTAATAGTTGACGTCACCAAGGGCCTTGCACTTGAACTTGTCTTGAAGCTTCAGCATCACCTCCTTCACAAGGTCAGAGCAGGGTGAGAATATGAGGATGTCATCCACATAAACCACCATGAAGTTCCTTTGCTCCCCCTCACCAAGCATGAACAAGGCCGTTACTATATCCATTTGCTTCACCACCCATCCTTTGATGGCCGCCGCGGCGAAGAGGGTTCGAAGGGTTGTACCCTTCACCACAGGGGCATACACTTCATTGTAATCCTTCTTCTCTTGCTGTTGATACCCCTTGGCTACAAGTCTGCTCTTGTAGCGCTCAATGTTGCCGTCGGCGTCGGTCTTGCGCTTGAAGAGCCACTTGGAAGAGATCGCCTTCCGCCCCGGAGGTAGGTTCACCAAGTCAAATGTATCGTTCTCTATGATGCTCCCCATTTCTTCATCTGAGGCCTTCTTCCACTCCTTCCCATTGGGGCCGTCCCAAGCCTCCTTGGGATTTGTAGGCTCCCCTGGCATCTCCACTGGAGAGAAGAAGGCAAAAGCGCACTCCTCGCTTTCATCTTCCGCATCATCGCTTAGCATGAGAGCCGAACCGGTCAAGGTTGAGTTGGCTGGTCCTCCAAGCCGGTCATAGCTCAACCTATTAGGGGGCTGAGTCCTCCTTCTCCCCCTTCCTTCCTCCTCTGCTGCAGGGACTTGAATGCTCTCATGGCGTTGCGGTAAATTTGGTCGGTTCCCACGAGCACTTGTAGCACGAGGCGGAAGTGACGATGCACGCTCATCATCTTGCTACACCTCCTCCTCCTCCTCATCCCCATTCATTTGAAGAGATTGCCTCGTGATTGTGCTGCTGCTACTCAGCTCCAAGGGCAGCTCCACATGCTCCAAGCCGGTACTCTTCACCTCTCCAAGCCGCACACCAATCTTCGCTTGATTCTCCGCCTTCCACTCCTTGTACGGTAAGTTCTCCATGAACTTGCAATCTCTGCTCACCAAGAACTTCTTGGTAAATGGGTCCCATAGAAGCCATCCCTTGCTGTTTTGAGCCATGCCCAGGTGCACGGCCCATGTTGCCTTGGCATCAAGCTTGTTGTGCCGAAGTTTCTTAGGCACAAGTGCCATGCACATGCACCCGAACACCCGAAGCATATCCACCTTCGGCTTCCTTCCAATCCACTCCACATAGGGCACCCATTTGTCTTCTCCCACGTGAGTCAAGGCTCTGTTCTTGGCCACACAAGCATGCCGCACCGCATCCGGCCAAAAATAATTGGGTAGACCGGCTTCAATGAGAAGTCCCCGAGCCGTCTCCGTGAGTGTCCGATTCGCACGCTCGGCGATGCCGTTCATTGCAGGAGAGTAGGGCATGGTAAGAGAGTGCCTTATGCCCTGCTTCTTTAGCCAAGTTGAGAAATCCTTGCTCAGGAACTCTCCCCCACAGTCAGTGCGAATTGCCTTCACAAGCCGGTCTTGTTGCCGCTCCACCATCGGCAACCAATCGGTCTTCACCGTTTCAGCTATATCACTCTTCTTGGGCAGCACATACACCCAAGTCATGCGAGTGTAGACGTCCACAATGGTGAGGAAGTACACTACTCCAGCAGTTCCAAGCTTCAAGGGGCTCACCACATCCATCACCACCTCATCAAGTGGTGCCTTTGCCGTTGTCTCCGAGCTATGGAACGGGTAGCGGGTGAACTTGGCTTGCATGCATGTTGGACAGCCAAGCACCTCATTGGGCTCCCCCTTGACACGTATCCCACTGACCATCTCTTGCTTAACTATCTGCTGCAAAATGGGCAATGCCACATGCCCCATTCGCCGATGCAAGGTCAGCCAATCGCACTCTCCCGTAGCGGAAGTCGGGTTGGAGAAAGCGGCACTCGCAATTGTGCCCCACAAGCTCTCTCCTTTCTCCTTTGCCGCTGCTGCATTGCTGATCTTAGGCTTCTCCTCATCATTTCCACCACCTTTGGCTGCTGCACCACTCTCCTTGGGTTCACACGCCTTGCTGGTCTCTCCAAGGTTGCACTCCTTCGAGTCACTCTTGGTGTCACTTTGTTTTCCGTGATCACCGCCACCAACCGCTTCACTCTTGGTGCTGATGCTTGCTGCCACTTGCCTCCCCTTAGGCATGGGAACCACTGGGATTTGCCACATCTCATTGTAGATGTCCCTGTCCTCATGAAGGTCCCAAAGCTTCCGCTCACCAAGCCTCGCGGTATATGTTTTGGAGCCCTTGGAAGATGTGTCCATGCCGGCCTTTTGCAAACGCCGAACAGAGATCAGGTTGGCTGCTAGGTTGGGCACCCAAAGCACGTTCTTGAGGCCCACCATCTTCCCATCAGCACCCTTGAACATGGCCTTGCCCATGCCTTTCACCTCTGCTCGCTGCCCCAAAGCCGATGTAACATGCTTGACCGGCGACGGTTCGAGTTCGGTGAGCAAGTCCGCACGAGGTGTCATGCTATAGGTGGTGCCGCTATCGATTACCCAAAAGTCCAGAGAGTGAAGGGTGACCTTTTGCACAGTAGCTGGCTCCTCAAAGCCTTCCACACCTCTTGCTGCAGCTGCCGCTTGTGTGGAGACAAAGAAGAATTGGCCCGGGTATCGATCTTCACTCGGGCCCGTCTCGTAGTCTCCACCTTTCATGCTTGCCGCTTCGCTTCCACGACCACCACGGCCTCCACGACCTCTGCCTCTTCCTCCCCTTACCCCTCTGCCCTCTTGGCCTTGAGAAGGGGTTCATCCATCAGGCAATCTGAAGCAATCTCTCCACATGTGGCCGGTCTTGTGACAAAAGTGGCATTCGCCATCAAATCGACCGCGCCCACGCCCGTAGCCATTGTTGTTGTTGTTGATGCCATATCCTCTATTACCACGGCCTCCACTGAAGTTACTGCTGCCAAATCTTCCTCCTCGCCCTCTGCCCCTTCCACGGCCGTGCCCACGGCCCATGCTTGCAACTCCGGCACCATCGGGACCCGCCAATTCGCGTCGGCGGAAATCTTCTTGTAAGATTTCCCGCTTCACATCATCGAGTGAGAGACGGGGCAGATCTCGATTTAGGTTAATGATGAGTGAGGACCATGAGTCCGGAATTAAGGCCAGCAGCTTGGTCTTCTTTTGAAGGTCACTGTAGTTCAGATCAGCTCCTTCGAGCCGTGTCAACAAGTCGAAGAATTTCTGCACTCCTTCCTCAACCGGTTCGCCTTCGTCAATTCGAAGTGCCGCCATTTGACGCTCCAAAACCACAGCCACCGCCGCTGTTGCAGGAGCGTGTACACCCTTGAGAGCAGCCCATGCCTTTGGTCCCTTTGCTGGTTCCCGCTGAAAAGGCTTGATGTGACGGATTTGGCTGCTCCCCAACGCTTGCCCAAGTAGAAGGTAGCCTTGTGCGCTCTTCCGCACCCACGGGCTCTTCTCCGGGTCGTTCTCGGGGCGCTTCTCCGTTCCTTCCATCACCTCCAGCAGATCATAGTGGTCAAAGATGTTCTCCATCTTGAAGGACCACTCAGCAAAGTTGTCCCCGTTGAGCTTGTCAAGGCCAAACACTCTAGGCTCATCCCTAGAGGGTCCAAGGCTAGGTTGCACCGGAGCAACGGGTGGATCTTGGTGTTGACCTTGTGCTTGGGCGGCTTCTCTGCCTCCAGCACGTCTGCCACCCCCTTCCTCAGGCCTAGGCATGGTCGAGACAGCTCCAAGGGGCTCTGATACCACTTGTTATAGTCACAATAGGCTCAGATGTGCCAATAATGAGAGATAGAGAGCACAGTCGGATTTCCGGCAGACGGCTTCAAATATTGATAACGATCTGCTCGCTAACTTAAATGGTGATCTGTAAACTGGATCTGAAGCGCGGTGCTGTCGTCTATCAGCAGCAAGTTGAATCATGAAATTCCATAAAGATTTGACGACGCTATGGCGGTTTGACTAGCAGAAGGTACAGCAGCCACTATAGTCTTAGGAGTACAAAAAAACTTAGGAAGAAGAATTCGAGAGGGAGATGGTTCCCAGCCTCTACATACCCCAAGAGCTGAGGTCCTGATTGGTGGTACACTACCACAGAGTCCCCAACCACGAAGAGTCTCGAAACCAACCCTCCAAGGGGCTACACCAAAGTGAAATGTAACACTACATGAAGTAGCGTTACTATTTTCACTATTTACTATTTATCCGCGTCCCTTGGGCTTGAAATCTTGAGCTCTTGGTCTTGGATCCGCAAGATAAATTCTTCTTGAGTTGATGGGGGCTTGCTGCACACACCTGCGACGTGATGGACACTTCACACTCGACAAAATAAAATAAAAAAAAAAAAAAAAAAAAAAAAAAAAAAACACACATGCGATACACAAACGACGACTTGACATACGAGTTGTAAAAACTCGCTAATGTCTTGACCGACACAAACCACATTGTGATACACCATTCAAACACACACACTAGCACTGGATAGCAATGACATAGACTCACAATTCATTCCATGCCATGCATGCACACACACAAACAAGGACGACAAGCCGAGTGCAAGCCATAGGGTTGCACCAACACGTTCACCCCGCACGGGGGAACTGCGTTGACGTAGGTGCCACTGGATCTCCAAGATGCCATCTCCTGCTCCATGGCAGCTATCCACTGAGAGGCTTAGGGTCCTGAGGTCGCCTCAGCGTAAGTGCGAGGGGTCGGGATTTCAAATCCGTCTCGGTCACCGTCAGGGACTAGCAGTATGGAACAGAGATGGGGAGCGGCCTCAGATAGGAAAGCAAG